AAGAACGACACGGTGTCAAAAGAGAACATCTATTTGATGGAAAGAAGTTTTTTGTGTCTCGGGAATACCTTGAAGATGCTGCGGGAAGAGACGTTTGGGAGATATTAAAAGAGTCTGCTCGGATTTATATTGTTGAAAAATATGAAGAGGCCGACTTTTGCTTGATTGGGAAACGAGAAATTTTGAAGGGAAGAAACGTCTATACAAGAGAACAATTTTTGAAAGCACTGCCATTTCCAAAATGTGTGTTTCAGACCTTGGGAACGTGTGATAAGGATTCTTTAATGTCCGATTGAATTTGTTTAAATGTTAGAATCAATCAGTTATGTACAGTAACAAGTTCTTGTTTGGGGTAAATGTTAGTGAATTGTTTTTTAATGTTATTAAAATGTTTTAACGAAGAAACCATTAACTTTTTAATTTTTTAAATATAACATTTGGATCATTTCGTTTAAAAACTACAAAATAGGAAGATGTTGTTGAATGTGTTGTGTTGGATAATGGTATATGGACAACCAAATCCAAACTGTTCATCGGCGTTTTGTTCGGAGTGCGAAAATGAGGTGTGCACGAAATGTATCGATATGTATGTGTTGGAAAATGGCGACTGCATTTGTTTGTCTTTTTTACTCGTTTTTTGACAAAAGAACTTAACAAAAGACCAAGAAAAGGCACATTGCAAAGAGGTCAACATAACGTCAAGTCTTTGTATTTCATGTATTGACGAATACCAAAAGGTACAAGGTATATGCAAAGAACAAGACGGTTTATGTTCCAAATATTCCAGATCTGATTGTGTTGAATGCAAAAAGGGGAATTACCAACATAATATAACCACGGGGGTTGAATGTTTCAACTGTGGTGGAGTCGACAAGTATTGTCTGGAGTTTGATGATTCAAAGTGTGAGAAATGCACTTTATGTCAAGAAGGAACTGTTTTATATGAGGGGAAGTGTATTTTTGCGATACGAGACTGTCTCAAATATTTATCTGTCGATGTGTGCGAAACTTGTGTGGAAGGGAAAATGAAAACGCCGAGTGGGAAATGTGTTCAGGGCACAATTGAACACTGTAAGGATTATGTTAACTCAACACACTGCCGTTCTTGTTTAGATGGATTTGTATTAAGAAAATACCCCGACAACTACTTAAAAATAGATGTCGACTCATTCTATACATATTATAGCACACAAATAGCTGAAACGAAGTGTCTTGAATATAAAAAAATCGAACACTGTAGCAAATTTTCATTGACTGAAGAGACAATGTGTGTTGAATGTGAAGAGGGGTATGGAATTGACCCAACATACAGTAAATGTGAATTGGGATCGATTGAAGGATGTACGACATACAGACGATCAAATTACTGCGAAGAGTGTTATGCTGGGTATTATCTTGAATTAGGAAAATGCATGGTTTGCACCGAAAGCAGTTTACAAAAGAACACGTCATGTGTTTTGTGTAAAAATACTATCAAAGTTGTACAAGGAGAATGCGTTGACACTCACTGCCAAAACTTGAATGTTGTTGATGACATATGTGTGACATGTGAAGAAGGATATGTTGTCGATTTGACAAAAAGTGGTACATGTATAAAAAGTGGCAACACGTGCATACAACAAGTTGAAGGGAAGTGTATTCAATGCACCACCGGATATTACTTGACCTCTCAATTTACATGCGCCCAATGTAATAAAAACACATGCATCCATTGTATTGACTCTCCAACAACATGTTCTCTCAAAACTACGTTGTATCAAAAGTCCATTACAACATCATGTGATTCTTATTTGTGTTCGTCGTGTAATTCAACGACAAGAATATGTTTGAAATGTTGGGATGGGAGTTCTGCATTAAATGGGAAGTGTTCAGATATCAGTTGTGAAATAGGGTTGAGTGGTGAATGTGTGAAATGTTCGCAATACACAAAGAAGAGTGGTGTACCTTTTTATTACCAATTTGTGCCTGTTGATGGGAGGTGTGTTGTTGACAGCTCTTCTTCTTTATTCTTTACGTTCTTTGCAATAATTTTGTTGATGTTATAATTTGGTTGCAACACCTTTTCTAATATATTTGAACAACATAAAAGTAACAATGACAAAAATTAGTTGTCTTTGACAGACGATTTACTCTCGAGTGTGTCATCATCTCCTTTCTCTTCAATCTTCGCCTCTTTCTCTTCAATTCGTTTTTCTTCTGAATTTTCGAATTTTTCTTCTTTGTGAACAAACCGTGGTGTTGGCTCCTCACTTTCTTGTTGTGAAGTGGTTGTCGTTTCTGTGTTTTTTGATGTTATTTTACTATTTTTCATGGATTTCCTTTTTTTACTCGAGCTGTCTGAGTCTGACCTCTGTGAATTTGCGAACGTTTTTTCCATTGTGTCAAGTGCTTTAGAAATTTCCTTGAACGATGGCCTTGTGTTAACTTGATGCTGCCACGACTTCTCGATGAGATTTGCAAAAATGCAGTTTTGAGGAATTTCAAGTCTTTTTCCGCCGCCGACAAACCTCAAAATCGACTCTGAATCTGGGAACTTGTCAGATGGGTAAACATCTCTTCCAACCCATATCTCCAACATACAAATCGCGAAGGAGAACACGTCACTCTTCAACGTCATTTGGTCTTTTCTTGAAATTTCAGGCGCCATATACACTGGAGTACCAATCTGCTGCAACGCAATTTTGCTTGAAGATTCGATGAAAGACCTTGATGTCCCAAAGTCACTAATTTTCGTCGTAGTTGGGTCGTGTGGATTTTTAGAATACACCAAAATGTTGTCTGTTTTCAAGTCTCTGTGCAAGATGTCATTTTCATGTAAGTACTCCATACCTCTTGCTACATCTTGGCAGAACCGTACTTTAAGAAAGTCTGAAATTGGGTTTGTCTGCATGAACTTTCTTAATGACCCCAGCTGACAGAATTCGGTGACTAAACACAAGGTGTCAGGAGTTATTACACTTCCTATAAAGTTGACTATGAAAGGACATCGAATTCGCTCCATCATCTCAGCTTCTTGTACAAAATTGGGAAGTAAATCCATCATATCAACCAAGTCGCTTTTCATCACTTTAACGGCAACATCCACCTTTCTCCACTCCGCTCTGTAGACAATACCAAATGTTCCGCCTCCAATAGGCGGATGTTGTAAGTGAATTTCTTCATAATCAAGTTTAGTAGAAAGTGCGGACTCTACTTGTAAGTTCAAGTAAACGTGGAACTTCGAGACTTTGGATTTCTTTCTTCTACTCTTCGAATTTTTCGATGAATTTTTACTCGACTTGTCCTTTGAAGACGAATTTCCTTTGGACGAGGACGTCGTTGTCTGTGTGGATGGTCTTGTTTCCGAATTTGACACTCTCCTTTTGACTGAGGAACTTGATTTTTCCCCTTCTGAATTCTGTGACGACTGCGATGCTTGTGCGATCAAGTCTGGATTCTCCTTTTTGATTTCTTTGATGATGTTCTGTAACTTCCCATACCGAATGGTGATGGGCACTCTCTCATTCAAAACAGTTGTGCACCTTGCAATAAAAGTAATAGTCAGAATAACACTCTCTTTTGGTCGAACAGTCCCACTGAACGGTTTACACATGACAGAGTATTTGTTATAATCACCAGCATGGAACGTGAAATGCATATTTTCAGTCCAAGTATTTGTCAGTGTTATTTCGTCTTCACACGGTTCGTCAATTTCTGGTCGCTTCTCTCCAAAATCAATTGCTTTTTTAGAAAAATTGAAGAAGCTGTTTTCCATCTTCAGGTCGATATATTGCGAATTTGTCTTGTCAAATGGAATGACCGTGTTCTCAAATATCACCAACTTCTCGTCATCAATTTCTTGCTTGATGTCTTTAGTCAATTTGTGGTGTGCAACAAACACCCAAATACATACAACAAAGTAGAAAATCAAATATGAACCAACTACTTCAACAAGAAACATATCTCCTTTTAATTTGTATGAATATTTGGAACAATTCACGTCACGATTGTGTTTGTAACTATTTTCTTGACATTCACATTCAACACAATAATCACCTGAATCACACTTTACCGTCAGTACAACTACGTTTATTTGTTTTTACAAGACAAACCTCTTCATCACCATCGATCCTTTTATTCCCACATGTTGCAGCCAAACAATAAAGACGGGATTTGTTGTAACTTTTGGTTCCGTTGACGCAAAGCTATTAGATGAGTACCAATTATACTATGTAACAATAATATAATAAAAAATAAACAAACACAATGATCACATCCGAATCCACCATCACACTTGCTGTCAACATTCTTTTAATCTCTTCTTATTTTATAATGATTAAAAAACAAACCTCTTCATTTTCATCAATTTGGTTGTTTCCACAAGTTGGTAGAGCACATTTTGTCACGTTATCTATAGGCATGGGTTCAGTCCCAAAAATACAGTTACACTCACTTGTGCATTGTGGGTCATCATACCCATCTATACTCAATTCACACTCTTCCCCCTCATCAAGTTGACCATTTCCACATAATACACACGTCCCATGTTTCAGAACGTAATGTTCCTCGCATGTACAAGCACCCAAGTACGACGAGCATAATCCATGTTCTCCACATTTATCAGTGCAAGTTAAGTCAATATCCAAAACCATTTCAACATTCGACTCTTCGTGTATTCCAACAAACAAAAAGTACCACCTCTTACTTGAAAATGTAAATGTCATCTTTGGCAAAATAGAGTTTGGACATCCAGAGTCTTTTTCAAGTTCACATCTTGCCTTAGTAAAGTCCAAGCAATCAATATCCACAGTAATATCATATATAGAATATCCATAGTCTTTTGGGTCAACAGACATCAAGGCAAGACTCAATTTGTCCTCTTTGGAATTACACATTGAAAAATTGAGTATTTGATCTGCACCAATAAATCTGAACCAATGCCCTTTGACCAAATCAGTGTTACACACATTTTTTGAAAGTAAACTCTTCTCCTCACTCAAAACTTTAGTTATTCCTCTTGACAAATCCGCCCAGTACAATCTCTCTGAAGCATATGAACAAACATGTTTGATTCCAGTCACAAAAAGTTTCATATCTTTCATTTTAGATGATGCAAATTTGGAGTGAACAAATAAGTAATAAGGGACATTAGCTTCTGCTTCAATTGATATTTGTGGTGATAAGACGTTCTCGGTTGTTCCATAATTACTCGCAACACACTTGTCATCTGTTATCAGACTTGTTGAATTCGAACACTTTTTTTGAACAGTGATAATGTAGTCGTTTCCAATTGTTTTGTCTTGAAATTCATAATACTCCTTATCCTCTTGTGAATATATTTCATCAACTTGCACAAATAGTTTCCGGGTAGTGTCTGATACTAATTTAAACCAATATCCATACGTGTATGGTTTACGTCGATCAACTGATCGTGTGCATTTATTGATGGATAAATACTGGACATCTAAAGCGGGTTGATCGATTATAAGAGACCCATTAAAAGTCGCTGCATTGATAGAAATAGTAAAGTTTGGATTATCCGAATGACGGTTCATAAAAGTTCCACAGGTGTCTATTGTTTCTTCAGTTATACTTTTACATTGACCAACTCCAAACCAAATGTAGTCTTCTTGGCAACTTTGACAATCAGAAGTATACCCAACAGTCGTGTTACAAATTTCACACATATCAGGCTTTAAACATCCTGTTAAACAATTGGAATTATACGCACATAAAAGCTCACACCCGCCTTGAGCTTTAACAGTGTACCCATCACTACATAAACAGTCTTCTGTACACCCTTCAGTACCATCACATTCCTCTGAATATATATCAACAACATTATCACCACATAATCCTTTCATGTTATACTCCAATTCTGTTACTTCTGTGCCACTTATTGGCACGTTGAATAATGTGAAAAGAAATATGAATATGAAATGTAATGTCATTAGAAATAACGAGTTTCAACAACTTATTTTTCTCGAATTTTGGGGTCAATATTCTAATATAATAGTAAAAAAAACTTGTAAATTATTCCTAAAATAATTCTGTTTTACATTTTTTTTTCAAATGAATTTCATGTTTTAATTTTAACGGCGGTTGATTAAATATTAAATAATGAATAAAATTAAAAGTATTTAAAGTATTAACAAATTAGACAAATAATAACCATTTTTTGGAATTTGTGAGTTCTGTTTATATTATATTAATAAATAAATTTATAATTTTGTGGTGTTTTATAAATAATTTCAATTGGTAAAATGATCTAAATATAAATATAATGGTTTCGATTTTACACTCATTTTTTATAAAAACTTAAAAAACTAAAAATATATATAATAAAAGATAAATTAAATTTAATTATAACATTTTTTATTGATTTTTTTCTGTGTGGTTTTAGTAAGTAAATATCAGATGTACTTTTTAATCAAGAACTTCAAATTGATTTACAAATAATCTAAGATAGATGTTTAAACATAGACATGTATACTCACATTGATTATATTTTGTCCATAGCTTTCAAGACTAATTTACAAATTCAAGTATATATAACTTAAATTATAAAAACTAAAATGATGATAAACACGAAATTAAAATCATTTTTTTCTTATTTAATCATTGTTGGATTACTTAAAATTATGTATTGATAGCATTGAGCAATTTTCATCATTTAAAAACACTTTTACAACGAAATTCATTTGTTTAACAAAAAAAAATAGGAACGAAAAACTTGGGTGTATTTTATTAACAATTTCCTTCATAGTTTTTTTCAATTACAGTAAAAAGTGTTTATTTGTGGGTTTTGCATTTGATTGGTCCATTGACCCACAAATAGACGTAACCCACAAATATAAAAACCCACAAAAAGACACTTTTTACTGTATTGGAATAAGATTGAATTTAATATGTATTGTATATTTCAATTATATGGTATATAAAGATGAAGTTTTTAATTGATCTAATTTAACTTATATTCCATTTTAACATCATTTAAACTCCATTTTGACATCTTTTTTTTCAATGGAAAAAACAAGAACAACAAAACTTTAAAATAAATAAATCAATGACAGAACATATCTTCACTGAAGATCAAAAAATGTTTATATTACGAATTGCAAGAGAATCAGGGGGAAACGAAATCAGAAAAACAAAACAACAAAATTACTCCAAAGAAGCTGGTGCTTTGGGGTTGACTTTTGTTCCTGGTGGAACATTTGTGACTTATAAAATCAATGGGCAGCTTAGGGGATGTATTGGGTGCTTTTCCCCACACAAACCGTTTTACGAACTTGTGCAGGAGTATGCCATTGAGGCATGTAAGGACTACCGTTTTAGAAGGATGAAACCAGTGGAGTTTGACAACACAACCATTTCGGTGTCATGTTTATCCAAAATGGAAGAAATTAAAGACCCTCTCAAAACTGTCATTGCAGGCAAACATGGTATTTACGTTGAGTACGGACAAGACGACGGAACGTTCCTTCCACAAGTTGCAACAGAACAAAAATGGGATACAAAGACTTTTTGTTTGGAGTGTGCGTATAACAAGGCTGGAATAAGCAGAAGTGTTGATGTCTTTAATAACCCGAACGTGCATTGGAGTATTTACACTGCAACAATAGTCTCTGAATAGTTTGACTTCATTTGTTTTTTTTCAAGTTACTATGGTATTATTACCATAGTATCCTAAATAAAAACTTCATTTCCAACACTTTTGGAACACATGAAGAAATACATGTGATGAAATGTGTAATACTGTATTATAATTTATAATACATTTAATTACAATACATAATTATCGATATCAAATGTAAACAGTTAAGTCGAAGATTTATTTTTTGTAATGAAGTTTTTCTTTTATTTTTTACTGGGTACTTTTCCTGTATTAACACTAGTAATTTGGCTCTTTTTATTAATTTTCATGTTAATAAATGATTGTTTGTATAAGAGTTCCTTTTGTATTAGAAGGAACTCGATTCGATCAAAAACCTTAAATGAAAATTGACATCACTTTAACACATCCCGGGCAAATAATCGGAGAACAAATAAGAGGATTTGTCTCGATCCATGTGAACTCCCCGACCTTAATCAAAGGGGTCACTGTATATGTTCGAGGAGAAAGCCACACTTATTACACGCACCCAGTAACTACAACAAAAATAGTCGACGGGAAGACTGTGACCGAAACAAACGACGTGACTGAGTATGTCAATACAAAGGTGTACGAGTCGCCAGATTTTCCAGTCATTGAGGAATTACACAACCACAACACGAATTTGACAACAGAACTTGCACCTGGTCATTACGACTACCCATTCATCATTCAACTTCCCCAAGGCATACCTTCATCTTTGTGTTTCCAAGACAGAAACATCAATTTGAAGTATAAAATTTACGCAAAAGTAACTTCAAGAAAAGGAGGACACACAACATCATCTGGATTTGACCTTCCGATCTGTATCACCCCACAGAGACATATCCCAAGACAACGAATATTTGTGGACAACACAACTCCATTTGCAATTCAACTTGCAATAAGCGACGAGATCCCAGCTGTTGGCGATACCATTCAGATGCAAATGCAATGTGTGAACACGACAAATTCTGTTGTTAAATTGTCTGCGTCGTTTGTAGCGATCCACACATACAACAACACAACATGCGAATCGTCTTCTGGTTACACAACGTTCCCGGACTTTTCGCCACAATCGACAAACACAACACCGGCGTTCGCGACTATTCCAATCGACCTTCCCGTCTTTGTCACTAACGACCCGTTCAACGTCTCGACGTATATCAGAATCGAAGGTTATTACAACAGAAGAAACTTCCAAGTGATGTTCCCTATTGTTATTGGAAGTGACATCTCAAACCCACAACTCATGTGTGACAGAGCTGCTCTTTTTGGAGGCAGGAGGGACTTCACTAAGATGACTGCGTTTTATGGCTCCCACTTCAGAATGTCACCAAATTACCAGGCAGTCACAAATCCAAAACTTCCACCAGGAATTGAAGAAATCGAGACGCCAGCATTTCAGAAGTATTATATTTCACATTTCACAAGACAATCGAGTATGTCGCCAGATATGTCGACAGTAGGACAATTTCCATACCCATCTTATAATTGCGCACTCCTCCCACCTGGGTGGTCGATGGGAATGGACTACGGAGAACCTTATTTCATTGACCATAACACAAAGACGACATCATGGATCGACCCAAGACCAATGGAGAGAAGAGTTATACCACACGTTGTTGCTGGGAGAAGTGCAATATTCACTGTGGAGGTTATCAAAGCGA